TTTAGTTATCTTCATGAGTTAGAGATTTTTAGAAACATACTCACAATTAATGACATTCATTATCTAAATCAGTATTCACGTTTTCTTGATTGTCTCTTTTTTTCTTTTTTTTAGACCACATCGTTGAATACTTAGACTCATATTGCCTTTGGTTGGTATGTGACAAGTATTTATAGGTTCACTCTTTTTTTCCCCTTGGAATTTGTTGTCTGTTGCCCTATACCTATTTGTCCTGTAGAAGTGCAGCACTGTACAGGGTGTCCCAAAGGTTGCCTCTAAAGTCACCATACATAGGGAAAATGGGAAGTTGTAGTTAAATGTTCCTTTATTTACAAAACATTCATTGTAAAATTTTACAAAATATTCTCTATGCTTTGGCCACCTCTTTGTAAAATTATGTCATAAAAGTTTCGTAAATAAAGGTACATTCAGCTATAGTTTCCCATTTTTCCTTATGTATGGCAACTTTACGGGTAACCTTTGGGGTACCCTGTTATGTTGTTTAACAGATTCCTCTGTTTCTTTTATTTCTTCTATTGGATCAGACCAAGGTTCAATTTGGAGGAAATATTTCATAGATGGTAATGTGTACTTCCTATTACAGTGAACCAGAAAGCACTTTGGTTCTCTTTTTATGAAATTCATATTGATCATTGGGTTCAAGTATTGCCCCTTTGGTCATCCTTTATAAAAGTCCTTCCCCACGAGCTTATGACTTACTGGTATTAGCAACTATTGATAGACATTTCCTGAATCCATTATTTCAGTAGAGCTGGCAAAATGATGATAGTGAAAGTCTTTTTTTCATCAACTCTTGGTTACCCTGAGGTGTATCTTTTATAGGACAGATAATGCTCAGAATTCTTCCTGGTTACCTGGAGAGAGCCCCTTTATGATAGTTCCTGAGTCTTTTAGACAGGACCCTAGTAGCCTTTAATAGCTTCCTTGTTTTCCCAGTATAACAAGATATTCTAGGTTTATCTTGTCCATTTCCTGATCCAGGCTTGAATTAGCCATTTTTCAAGAGTCTTACACCCTTATTCTTAACCAGTATGCAATATGGAATGGAAAGAGAGTGTACAGGTTTTGTGTTCTGTGATCCCAAAATGATCTTTTCCCCTTTTGTTCTATTCTTGTGCTTCTTGGGATAATAAAATAGAATGGAAATTTTTAAAAAACACAATATATATTATATTTTATTACATGACTTTCAATGACTTGATTTATTCATTAAGTTCTGTTATAGCATTTTTTACTTTAGTAACTCCTAAAACATTAGTTCTTGCATATAAGTAATCTAAGCCATGGAGATTATCACAGAGTCAGAATGGGCTTAGTTTTGAAATGTGCTATGCACTTAAGTTTGCTGTGCTATGGATGTTACTTTCCACTGATCTCTTCCTCCCATTGACTTTTGCTTAAACTTTGTATGCGTGAGCCAAAACATAATTCTTAATGAATAGGCAGGCAAAATCACATGATTCTAGAATTCTATTTTTCTCTCTATATATACATATATATATGTATCCATTCTTTGTGTGTGTATATGTATATCCTGTGTGTATATATACATATATATGCATATAACCACCCCCACCCCCAACACGTACAAAGAAAGACCACCTTTTACCGTGAGATAGTTCAACCTTCAAATTGTATATAGTCAGAATTCTAGTTCCCCTTGTAGTATTTTCTCCATGGCCTGTGGGAACCAAATCCTTCATGAAACCATTAATGGCAGAAATAAACACACAATGGAAACTAAAAACCTAGGCTCATTGCATAACATCTTTCCAGATCACATTTTACATGATAGTCTAACTCCAGCATATCAGTTTTCTTTTACCACCTGACGTCAGTTACCCTTTCTCTGAGATAAAGTATGACACAGGATAAAACAAAAGACTACAGATTATGTTGCAACTGTCATGCTTTAGACATAGGATGCACATGCACCTCCTGCCTGTGCGTGGGCTGCTCCAATAATACTTAAGATGGCATTAATTCTTTGAGGATAGTCAGGGGCAGATATTCTCTAAGTATTATGGAATTTGCCAGGCATAAGAAATTGAATATTATTTGGTGATTTCAGTGATGTCAAATTCTTTTACCTCCACAACTCATCAGCACATTTTCTGTCTTTTGAATGGTCTACTTTGGGTCAGGTTTGAAACCAGAACTTATGTGACAAGGCAGAAAAACCAAAAGGAGTGCTGGCTGCCTAATGTAATGGTATAGGTTGAATATTTCTTATCAGAAATACTTGGGACCAGATGTGTTTTGGATTTAAGATTATTTAATATTTGCATTATACCTATTGAACATCACAAGTCCAAAAACTCCAAACCTGAAATGTTCCAATGAGCATTTCCTTTGAGTGTCATGTTGGCAGTCAGAAAGTTTCAGATTTTGGAGCATTTTGAATTTTTGGATTATGGTGGCTCAAGCTATTTAGCAAGTTAGTGCCCTACCTGTAGCTTCACTCACGTGTGTTCCTCTAGGGAAGGGGCCTGAGGAAATCTTTCTAGAGAATGCTGGCCTAGCCAGTTGAACTTTTTTGCACTACATGTGTCAAACAGATAGAACTTTGTTTTTAAACTTTTTATGGAAATAATAAATGAATGAATGAATCTGACACCAGTCAAAGCTGCAAAAATTCAAAGAAAATTTCATTAAATATATTCAAAACTTAGGAAACAAATGTTTAATAAATTTCACTAAAAGGCACAGTTTTGCATAGAAAAACCATTGTTTACAAATTTTTTTGTTACTGTATTTTTTTTTTTTTTTGAGACAGAGTCTCACTTCGTTGCCCTCAGAGTGCTGTGACGTCATAGCTCACAGTAATCTCAAACTCTTGCCTCAGCCTCCCAAGTAGCTGGGACTATAGGTGCCTGCCTCAGCACCCAGCTATTTTTAGAGACAGGGGGTCTCACTCTTGCTCAGGCTGGTCTTGAACCTGTGAGCTCAGGGAAATGTACCCGCCTTGGCTTTCCAGAGTGCTGGGATTACAGGTGTGAGCCATGATGGCACCTGGCTGTGTTACTATATTTTTATGAAATCAATTTTTTAAAAACTTTGGAGATCTATTCTTAGAATCTGTATTCTGATTATGAATATCTTTGGAATATTTTACTTTGGTTTCCTGAGTAGATACTGTAATATTGATTTTTCTGGGCATGGTTATGTTATTTGGGACCCATAGCATTAACATATTTTAAGGAAGATTTATTTTAATAACTTTTTCTGCCTTGGGTAAGATAAAGATCTTTTATTAAGCATGATCTTTGTATGATTTAATTAAAACACTAATCTGGTTTGTTGAAGGAAGGTATCTACTTTGAAACCTCTAGATTATACTCAGAAAAATATTAGACCTGTCAAATACAGAGACATGGCTAAACTGCTAGTGAAACCCAATCACTTGGTTCAGATCTCTGTTCAAATGTTAGGATACTTCCTCCAAGTGATCTCCTGCCTCTCTTTCTTCACTATTCTCTTAGTTCAGAAAACAACTTTTTCATTTTCTCTCTTTTCTTTTCTTTTTCTTTTTCTTTTTTTTTTTTTTTTTGAGACAGAGTCTTACTTTGTAACTTTCAGTAGAGTGCTGTGGCATCATATCTCACAGTAACGTCAAACTCATGGGCTCAAGTGATACCCTTACCTCAGCCTCCAGAGTAACTGGAACTACAGGTGCCTGCCACAGTGCCTGACTATTTTTTCTTTTTTAGAGATGGAGTGTTGCTCTTGCTCAGGCTGGTCTCGAACTCCTGAGGTCAAGCAATCCACTCACCTCAGCCTCCCAGAGTGCTAGGATTATAGGCATGAGGTATCACACCTGATGTATTTTTTCCATATTTTTAATTGCACTTATCGCTTGTAGTCTTTTGATCATGTTCACTGCTGCCTCACTGGCACCTAGAACAGTGTGCCTGGCACCATGAAAGGTATTTCATAGTTGTTTGTTGAATGAGTTAATTGTTTACTATTTATCACCCCCCAGAATGTAGGCCTCAGTGTGTGACTCAGAATGTGGCATAGTATTTGTTTGAAAGAACAAAAGGAATGAACTATAAGTAGTGATCAAATTGATTTTTATATTTATATATACACATATATAAAATTTTAATTTTAATTATATATTTAAATTGCACATAGATTTCTCATCCAGAAATAGCTTCTTAAAAACGATGTGGCATTTATGTAACATCTAGAGCAGTGGTTCTCAACCTTCCTAATGCCACGGCCCTTTAATACAGTTCCTGTGGGTTATGACCCACAGGTTGAGAACTGCTGATCTAGAGCCTACAAAATCTGCTGCTATCTTTTTTGCTAATGTGGATGGGTAGGTTTATGTGGAGTGTTGTAGTTTTTTCAATGTGATAAGCTCATGAAATGGATTAGTATCTGGATTCTTTTCTCCTATTTGCTTCATTCTCATTGCTGTTATAAACGTCCATCAGTCTGTGTGCTTTGTATACTGATTTCACATCTCAAAATGGAGAAATAAGGTTTCATATTTTTATGAGAATGTTTTATAAGCTCTTATTTACACAGTTTTGTTTTTTGCATTTCATCTTGAATTCTTATAGTTTTATTTGGGAACACAGTGACATACTTTGTACTTTGTTCAATTCTGTTGTTATTCTCTAAACATCCTGATTGGTCGTGTATGGCTGACTCCTTATGAAGCAACATGGTACTACTTCTGGTATTTACAACCTTTGAAAGAGAGAAGATGAAAATGTAGGTCCGAAAAATTTGAAAACTGTTTATGTGATTAATTTGGGGCATCTTGAAGCGCTGAGTGTTAGCCTGGCCTTGCTGGATTATTATATTCATTAAGTAGTCTGTGCATCTGTAAAATAAAGATTCTTTTTCAAACTACATGGTGAGTATCCAGTGCTGTCAGCTTCTGAATGTATGTTTCCTTAGAAAAGAAACTGCCCTTTCCTTTTTTTCCTCTTAGTGATTTAGCAGATTTTTTCTATTTTCTTCAGATAATTAAACCAGAGATCAATGACAAAGAAACAGAAGCTGTCTATGACTCAGATCTTCCTGAGGAGCTCTGTGGACACCATATCCCTCAGCAGTCCCTGAAAAGCTATAATGACAGTCCTGATGTCATTATAGAGGCTCAGTTTGATGATAGTGACTCAGAAGATGGACATGGCAACACACAAAATGTGCTGGTTGATGGTGTAAAGAAGCTCTCAGTTTGTGTTCACGAAAAAGGTGAGTATTAGACTGCTGTCTGACATTTTGTTTTAGTAAATCAATTGTTTTAAATATTGGAATTTTGTCTGCTACCGAATAAATCACACAGTACAACTGGTTTGGTCCCAATTTCCAACCTATTTCAGATTTTAGAAAAGGAGGATCTTTGACAGGCTTATAGCTGCTGGTTAGGAGAGAGGGGATGAAAGTGCTGCCAGTGGTTTGTGTGGGCAATGCATTGGTTGATCTTGCCACGTTCCTAATAGGCTTTGAGTTATGTTGATAGTTAACCTTGATATTTCCTATAATGAGCCCAATCCTACCCTGTGGTTCATATGAACAGAATTAAACTGGTCTTTAGAATCCTAAGAAAAAGCCTTTCATTTTGCTTTAGTTTAGAAGTTTTTAAAAGTATATCTGTTGTTGGTGGTAAGAATCGATCACCCTAAATTTTATAAGCAGATTATCTTTAGAAAGTCTTTTGATTCTAAGCCTTTAAAAAAATCTGGTCTTACTTTCTCTGATTGCAATCTAAACCAGATTTTTTTCCTCAGTGAACAGAAAAAATCAGTTATAAATATATGAGCAAGGAATTGTAACTAAGGGTCCCATCTGACCACACTCTAGGAAACTTAAGGGAAAGTAGCCCTTACAATTTGAATATTTTGATGTATTGATTTCTAAGAGATTCTAAGTAGAACCAGTATATTTTCTACTCAATGAATTTTAGATATACTATGAAATGGAAACTTGAGCAACGCTGACCTGGCCAACATGAGTAGATAATGAACTTTCTTATCAGGAAGAAGTTGATGGCATAATCCCCATGAAAGGCCAGAAGAAATGCCGGAAGATTATAAAGGAGATGTTCAGCAGACAACCTGTTATAGGGATTAGTGAGCATACCTCCTTACATCCTAAAGAAATCTGGAGGTGGTTGTAGGAAATGAGTACAGAAAGATTACCCTGTTTCTCTCCGTTGCTGATGTGGGGGTGACCTGGGGCAGAGAGCATTTTCTGAAAGCGTGTGTTGCTTTTGGTGCTAAGTAGTACTCATTCAGAATTTCCAACATTGAAATTGTTTTTGAATGAAGAGGCTATACTTCCTCTGTCAGGTATTGCTGCCTTCCCCAACAGGTATCACTGACCTGAGGATACCCAGGTTCCTCTTACTTTGTGACATACTTTGATAACTAGTGGTTTCACTGTTCAGGGCTCAGCCAATTCCATTTGGATGCTATTCCTTGAAATTTTCTTTTTTTGAAAATAATTGAATGTTATTTTCAATTGTTATTATCTTCTTAAAGTACATGTGTATTATCATAACAGCATCAGTACTGTGAATCATGTATTTTCAATGGTAATGGGGCAGATAACCAGGACCTTAAATAGCCAGATCCTTCGTCATCGAGATCACCAAGGAGGAGAGATATCCGCAGGACAGAGCCAGACAAAAGAATACTTTAAAATGATTTGAGCATTTGGCCCCAAAGTACTTCATGGAAACCTGGCTCTGGTAATTGGGCTTGGTAGATCTCAGTGGTCTCTTTTCCTCTGGACTCCAAGTTGAAGGAATAAGATGGCTTGATATCTCATTAGTGGTTGGTACAAATACAAAGACAAGGAAATAACAATGGGTGGAAGTGGTGGCAGAATTGTTGTCTGGGCTGGATGTTAATAATTCACTTTGTCCTTTGTTTGGGAAATTCTGATGCCAGACTTGCTCTTGACTGACCTTCTGCTGTAATTCTTCTCCCTCTCTCCTCAAGCAAGTATCATTGAGTACTTTAGAAGTCCACTGTATGCATGTTTTTTTCCTTATTCTTTTTACATCCTTTAGCCCACTGTTATTTATATTACTTTCTTAGTAGCCCTAACTGAGGGAACAGCCTTAATCCTTCCCTCAGTATCTGGTACAGGTTTCTCTTTCCTGCTAGCCTCAAAATAGAGAGTTTGTGAACCACATGGCTGTTTCTCATTTCTTGCCCTTTTGATATTTAGGAAAATTGCAATTTGCTCTTTTAAAAATCATGGTATTTTTAAGGATATTTCAACCAGCTACTCTTTTTCAGAATAATATAAAATCTGGTTACAGTTAGGATGTTAGTACTTTTTGCACTTTAATTTAAGGTTTTGAAATTTGTTATTGAAACAAACCATAACCTTAAGAACATCATAAACTTTTCCTTAGACTTCTAGAAAGATTCGTTGCTTTGTGTTGTACTTGCAAGTGGATTACTAGTCCTAGTTCACACTTGGGTTCAAAAGTTTTTTGTTTTTTTTTTGCTTTAGTCTCTCTTTCTCTCTTTTTTTCCCCACTCAAAGCAAATGTTACACATCACATTTGTGTGTACTGTATCCCTGTTTTCCCAGGAAGCATTCATATCTTTATGATAACCACTGGTTTCTGTGGTAAGTGAATATATCACCCCGACAGTCTGTAGCAAAGTACCTATCACTCTATCACGAGAAGGGTCCTTTGGGTATCTCAGACCCACACAGTAATTTCTTTGAGAGAGATGGCCTGGGTCTGCTTCATTCTCAGTCCCTGAGAGAGAGTAGCCAGACACCTGGGCTGCTTTTGAAAGTCCATTTCTTTCAGCCTCTTGAGACTGAACTTTTATCACTTTCCAAGCAGTACCTTTGTTGTTAACACAGAGATCTGCCATCTGTGTAGACTGGGGACAACCCAATTAAATTTTCCTTGGTATCAGTTGCATAAAACATTTAAAAATGTTTGGACATTGGGCAGCACCTATGGCCCAAAGGAGTAGGGCGCTGGCCCCATATGCCAGAGGTGGCGGGTTCAAACCCAGCCCTGCCCAAAAACCACACACACACACACACACACACACACACACAAAAGTTTGGGAAATGGTTACCTGGCTAAGAAACTCCAAAGGATAAAAGTCATAATGGCCAAGTCACACAGTAGCTCTGTATCTTTCATCACTGGGAATTTTAGGAATAGTTTTGACCTCTGAATCTTGGTGATCATAACCTAATCAGGTCATGTGCATTTCCTGCCCTCTATCCCAGCAGGGTCTGCCAGAGTCTTTCTCAGTTTTCTGGTCTGAAGATAAGCCTCTATTCAGTACCCTGATGAGTGAGTATGAGTTTAAAGTGTGGAGTCCATGATGCTTTCATTTCTATCTCCTGTTCAACTTCAGCTATTTTCTGAAGAGGAGAATCTATGTTGAATCCTTAATCCTTCCTGAGATGTGCATTGGTCTATTTCTACTACTTCTGCCTGCCCAAGTCACCTTTGGGAGTTAGGAGGACCCTTTGTTTCTCACTTAAGATTGATCTTCTTCCAAGACAGGCTCTTTCATTGTTTAGATTTCTTTATATAGTCTTTCCTTGAATAAAAAATAACTGTTTTCCCCCTTTTCTGAGAAAAAAAGACCCATATGATTATTTCCATATGATATTTGGGGTTATTAAAACCCCAAGAACACTTTTTCCAGATTACTTGGCAATTCTTCTTCTTTCTCAGATGTAAATTTCTTCTTTTCCCAGCTCTTCATTGAATGTAATGTCCACCCAGAAGACAGTCATGTATGCTTCAGAAATTATTTTAAAAATTAAATTTATAGCTATTTCTTATCAACTCCGATTTTGGCACAGTTTTGTGCCAATCTTTACAAATCTGATTTACAAAAAAAAGTCGAGCCTTGTCCAGACCTATGTTAAACAGAAGGATACAGTGGGAATTTTTGCTTTCTTGTCTTTTAGACTAGGGGCAATGCAGTCAGATCAGGTAGAGAGGGATGATCAGGACTCCCAGTGTTCCAATACCCAAGTCCCATGCCAGAACAGCCATTCCTTCCTATGAAATCCTCAAAATAAATATGTACAGATAAAGCAAGCCATACTCCCACTAGCAATGTATAAAGTTTCTTATATCTCTTCTCATTCCTACCTATAAGATTATCTAGGTTTCTAACTTTTTGTAATCTAGATTAAGTTCTATAAATCTCTTTTATATATCATTTACCCACTGTTCTGTCACAGTTCCTGTTGTCTTATTGATTTATAGGAATTTCTTGTCTTTTCCCTGTAATAATCCCTTTTCTAATTTTAGGTATTACATATATCTTCTCCCCTTCAATCGTTTAGTCATTTGTCTGTTAACTTTTGTGTGGTATCTTCTTTGAACAAAAATTCTTAATTTTGGTGGGATAAAATTAATCATTTATTTTATGGGTTTTAAATTTTCCTCGGTAACTAGGTCGAAAAGATATTCTCCCATGTAATCTTTTATTAAGTCTATAGTTTTGCCTTTTGCCAAACTTAATGACAATCATTCTTTGTTGTATGGGATTATCACCTGGTTTTCTTATTCTAAATCTATTTCTGAGTCAAACCATCCTTGGATTCCTAGAATATATTCTGTTTAATCCTGATGTGTTAATTTTTAAATATAATATTGAATTAATTTATCTGTTATAATTAGTAAAGATGACTGGGCCTCTACAGGATTACAGGTGTGATGGTGGCTTACACCTGTAATCCTAGCACTTTAGGAGGCCAAGGCAGGAGGATAACTTTAAGCCAGGAGTTCAAGACCAGCCTGAGCAAGAGCGAGATCCTGTCTCTACAAAAAATAGAAAAATTATCTGGGCCTGGTTGCAGCTACTGTAATCTTAGCTACTTAGGAGGCTAAAGTGGGAGGATTGCTGAAAACCAGGAATTTGAGGTTGCAGTGAACTATGATGTTGCCACTGCATTCTGGTCAGGGTAACAGAACAAGAACCTATCTCAAAAAAACAAAAACCACCAAAACCCCAAATAAAAAATACCCACATGCAATATGAATAAAAAGTAATTGGAAATGCTTTTCACTATAAATATGAGCTTTATTAAAAAGTGATTAGCGTAGAATTTTTGTGTCATGTTAAAATGGATCTATGATTTTCTTGTCATCAGATTTTTGGAATTGATTATAATAGCTTTGTGAAATGTCCTGGTCAGTTTTTGGCTGTTTCCTATTTTTCAAGAACAGCTTGTATAAGCTG